CTGCAATAAGGTCTTCCCACAGCCTTCTCTTCATCAGGCTGAATAAATCCAAGTCTCTTAGCCCTTCTTCATAGGAGAGGTGTTCCATCTGCCTGATCATTTCTGTGGCCCTCCTCTAGAACCATTCTAGTAGGTCCAAGTCTTTTTTCTTTTTTGTGGGACAAATACACAAAATGACTACTATTTCATGTAGCTTAACATTTCCAGGTGAGAGAGAGTGATAGACGAGAAAACCTGCAGATACCCCTCTGAACACTTTCTCCTCCCCAGTGGACCTCAGCAAACTGCTCTGTTAAGGACAAGTGCTCACTGCAATAACCCTGTTATGGTGTGCTCAGAGCAGGCTGAGCTCCTGGTGGTGTCTAAGAGATGTGCTATGGGTAGGCAGGGAACCATTCTTCTTCTGCAGAAGAAAGAGAAAGCACAGGAGTGAAATTAAGAGAAACAAGTGGGAAGAAGCAGACCAATGGCATCAAGAGTGTCTGCCTGGAGGGTAGAAACATCAGGACTGTGCTAGTAAAGAGAAGCCCTTGAAAGACAGAGGAAAATAATAATTTTAGCAATAGAGGAATGGGTTGGGTTGAAGAGAACTGGGAAGAATGAAAACTGAAATAGAGTGAGCGAGCAGCGGCCACAATGGCAGAAATCAGAAGCTGTTTGCAGTGAGCAAGCCCCATGAATACTACCAGTCCAAAAAATCCTTTAATGGCCCTTCCAATCCTACTGATTAATGAGATTTTTGAGTGTCATTTTCTATCAATTCTCTAAAAACAATGAGAACGCCTAGGGAATGAAATGTAGGGTTTCAGAAAGATGAGGTGTAGATCTGTGAGGGTTGTGTTACAATGGGGTAAATGCACACCCTATAAATTGTGGAACACCATCATAACAATTCTCCTTTTCATCATGAGCCATACAGTAGGATTTTGGCCTTTGTCATTTTTGTTGTAGAGGAAAGTCTGTACATTTTAATTAAAATGCTGAAGCCAAACTTGAAATCCTGTCTGGGGCTACGCTTGTATGGAAATTGTCTGTGGTCACTCGGTAGGACTCAATACTTTTTCTTTTTATGTGAAATTTAAATAAGTGAATTGAAATAATCTGCATTTTTCATAATGTTCAGGGAGTTGAAATAATGAAAGGTGATCATGAATATTTAAATTGAAGAAAAAAATTACATTGAAATAGCCATCAGATTTCTCTTATGATTCATTAGAAGATACCAATACCATAACAGTATTGTAATTTTTAGAAATGCATTATAGGTTCACAAATTTGCTATTCATAAAATTCATTTATGCCTTTTTTCAAAGGTGCTTTACAAAGGATTTAGAACCCTCTTTAATCTTTGAAAATAACACTGTAGTTTGTGATTAAATATCTCCACAGCATAACTATAAAGATATGCATCTGCATCATAAAATCCAAATCAGAATGTAGCACAAAAAAAAAGGTCACTGTGAATTTTTTTTTCCTTGAATTGACAATTTTCATTGCTATTAATGCTTTACGCAATATCCTTCAGGTGACCAGATCACCTTATACTGTTAAGTTACTTACAGAATCACACAAAGAGTCATTAGGAGTGGCACACTTCACAGAAGCCAGAGCTGATGCTGGAATCTACCTTGCAGCAGGAGTTTGTAGTTTTAAGTTTCAACCCAAGGGTGTCAATGCTCCTTTCATCAAAAAAAACCTTTGCAATAGCAAGGTTGAAAAAAGACTGTGCATCTCAGAATAAAATGGATTTGTCTTAGTGGAAAACCTGAATATTAGCTCATAATCACACTTTCATATTTATCTATGCTGTGTGTTTTAATATTCAAGGTGTCTAAGCACTAGAACAAAACATGATTGCATCTTATTGATGCTCATACAAAGTCTAAAATATGATCAACAGACTTGAAAATTTTATCTGAAATATTATTCAGAAAAGTAATATTTATAAATGTATACCCCTTCAAAGGGCTGCCATTACGCTTCTATGGTCTAGTATCCTGCAATAAGTGCAGGAAACTCAAAGAGTTCCTGTGTTGTTTCAAAGCCTTTTGCTTTTATCACTGCTTAACACTACATAATCAGTCATAATACCTAAACAAAACCAAAAAGCTGACACTCAAAAAATTGAAGGATAGAGGGGTTGGCTTTGTTCTTGAAATGAGTATTTTTTCCCAGTGCTATAGTAAGGAATCTTGTATTTTTGATAATTAGTTACCACACTCTAATTAGATCTTTATGTTGCTGCTCCCTTGTAAAACATCCAAAGACACACTCCCTTTTGACCATGAGATGCAGACCATAGACCAGGAAGTCTTATCAGCAGAGCAGATTCCACAGTACTCTTACTGATGGCAAGTGTATACCATTTAGGAGCTACATGCATGAATGTAAATTCTCTACAGCATTTCTCTGTCTGCCAGAGATCCAGGCCTAATAAGTTCAGAACCTTTAATCCTAATTAATTATATTTGCAGAGAACTGGGGCACTGATACATGCCAATTATAACTTCTAAAAATGCAACAGGATTTCCACAAATTGTACTTCTTTCAAAACCGATCACTGCAGAAGAAATACTGGTCTCAGCAGGAGTTATGTTCACCATATCTGGGAGGTAAATACTAATTTACCTTTAAATGCAACAGCCAGTGATTGCTAACCTAAAAGGAGGGATCATTCAACAAGGCCAAGTTCAAGGTCCTTCATCTGGTCAGGGCAATCCCAAGCCCAAGTACAGGCTGGGCAGAGAATGAACTGAGAGCAGCCCCGTGGAGAAGGACTTGGGACTGTTGGTTGATGAGAAGATCCCCATGACCCATCAGTGTGCACATAAGCCCAGAAACCAAGCATGTGCTGGGCTGCATCCCCAGCAGTGTGACCAGCAGGTCAAGGGAGGGGATTCTCCCCTTCTGTTGCACTGTGATGAGACACCCCTGCAGTCCTGTGTCCGGCCCTGGGGCAACAACACAAGAAAGATGTGGACCTGCTTGAGAGAGTCCGAAGGAGGCCATGGAGATTCTCTGAGGGCTGGAGCAGCTCTGCTCTAGAGACAAGTTAGAGTTGGGCTTGTTCAGCCTGGAGAAGAGAAGGCCCCGGGGAGACCTTAGAGCAGCTTCCAGTGTCTAAAGGGGCTGGCAAGAAGTCTGGAGGGAGGGTTTTGACAAGGGCCTGTAGCAATAGGACAAGGGGCAATGGCTTTAAACTGACAGAGGGGAGATTGAGATGAGACCTTAGGAAAAAATCCTTTACTAAGACTGTGGTGAGGCCCTGGCACAAGTAGCCCAGAGAAGCTGCAACTGCTCCATCCCTGGCAATGTTGAAGGCCTGGAAGGACAGGGTTTGGAGCAACTCGTTGTAGTTGAAGGTGTCCCTGCCCATGGCAGTGAGCTGGAACTGGATGAGCTTTAATTTTGTTTCCAACTCAAACCATTCTATGATTCTATGATCTGTTCACCCATGGTACCTGATGCATGGTGCTGATGAACAATTGCAGCACAGCAGCTAGTGTCACACACATACTGGAAGGCAAAAAGCAGGGTGAAAGAAATGCATGAAGGACATTGAAGTAAAGGCACTGCTTCATCTGTTTTGTGCACTCTCATCTATTACATGATCATGGAACAAGAGGCAGAAGGTCTGCCTAACTGCTTCTTCTGTAAAATGATTTAATATCTGATGCTAAGTGGCAGTGAATGAATTTAATTTTGGGGTTGATCACACAACACTGACCAAAGAGTCTGGTATATGGTGTTCTTAAAAGCAGGTAACCTGCAAGCAAGCAGTGTAATTTTATGTCAAGGGGAGACATGGGCTTTCTTTGGAAATTAAGAAGAGCTTTTTACCTGAAAGAAAAAGCAGGCAACACAGAAGGGTTTTTTGAGAATCAGCTTTCACCTTCCCACAATGGCCATAAAAGCTTCTCCCAAAAGGATAATCATATCTAAACTCCTAGCTATACAAAAAGGCACTTCTCCTTATCACCTTTAATGCAGTCCCACTTTGCCCTGTTTCTCACCTCAATAAAGAAAACAGCTCAGCTTTTAATCAGTTTGCAAACATAAGGATTCATTTGAGAAGCAAGTGCTTATGTTCGTCTCACTTTATTTGTAGCTGCTGCCTGATACCCCATTCCCTTGCCTCAATTGCCCTGCCCTTGCTCAGCATCCTCCAAAAGGCAACCTTATCTTCACAAAACAGACAAACAGCTCCCTCCAGATGCTGTGCCAATGCAGTGGCTGCAATGCCACTGCTGCAGCAACAAACTGGCAAGTGGGGAAGGAATAAAAGTATAGTTACTGAATAAGTAAATGCTTCTTCCAGAAACCAAACACACCACCCTTAGGTCAGAAAATAGCAAGTTGTTTCTGAACTTCTCTCCATCTGGAAGTGCAATTATGCTTGTTAATCTTAAAATGCCTTTGGCAGTTGTCACCTCGGTTTTTATGTTATCCTTAAAACTTTTCTAATGGCAAGTACACATGCAGTGAGAAATAATAGCCCTTTGTGTAACAAGCAATACACACATTGTCCAATTCATTCTTACAGTATTTTTCCTCTCTGAGGTTATCAGAGAAGAGATTGAAAACTGAGCCATCATACCGCAGCTTAAATGTATCAGTGAAGCATTCCCTTTTCTCTCCTTCTCTCCTGCCTATTTTTTTTTTCCCTTTTTCTAAACCAAAGGAGTGCAGGATGCTAATAGTGACAAGATTATCCCTAAGGAAACCTAGCCTCATCGCAGCATAGGATTTATTGCTCTGCTTCCAGATCACACAGCCTGTGTGGTCCTTTTGGGCTCCAGCTAGCCCCCAAACAGTAATCATGCCCTGCCATGCACTTCTGCTGATGCCACCCTAACACAGGGAAGGAGTCAGACTTTGCATAAACAGAAATAAAACTGTGCCTGCCACTGAGTTTTGATGCCAGTTAAAAGTTGTGGGACTAAAGCAAGCAAGGAACGCGCAGACTGAGACAGCTGGAAGCATTGGTAAGAGGAGCTTACTTTGAGACAATGCAGCCGATGTGCTGAAGTGCTTGTCTTCAACATTTCTCCTTGGTTTAACTAGGAATAGGCAGGGACAGGCTGTATATTGCAGGAAAGAGGGAGTCTTGAGATCTTGTCCTCAGCACTGATCTCTGACTTGCAGACTTCAGAACTCTCCTTGTGCTGCATTTTCAGGGAGATGCCAAACCTGTAATGTTATAGCAAAAAAAACAACAAACCTCAAAACAATTCCAATCCCAAAAAGCCCAACATGCTTTGAACATGGGTTCAAATGCCTCCACTTGGTCTCATGCAAAGATCGACACTGAATCCAAAACCATCAACTCTAATTTCAGGGGATCACACGTAGTGCTTTTCTCCTTTCCTCCTTTTTATTTTTTTTTAATCTTCTTTTGTAATGTCTGATTGATGAAAAATACTATCAAAATCATGAGTGAATATCCTTCCCAGGTATGATACTGGCTTAACTCTCAGGATCTGTTGCCTTTTTTTACAACCTGCCCTGGTACAATGAAAGTTGGCACCTACCTTCTGCCTGCATGTCCTTCCTCCCTGGTAAAACGCAATCTGTTTCCAGCGAGAAATGTTATTTCAAATCTAGCAAGTGTTGCTTGAAGCAAAGGTCACCATTAGTTCTGGATGTGTTAATACACTTTACTTATAATAGTTCTGTATCAACTTCTATATATCAACATTGTATTTCAGAAGATGAGGCCTTTACACTTATTCCACCTGGGATTTTTTGCAGGCATTTCAAGTGTGTTTTCAGCAGCCTATAGTAGCCCCTATATATATTTTTTTAAATGCTCAAAGGATTCAAACTTGGAGCTCTCAAGGAAGTTTTATTCTTTTTTTATTATCTTTAGCCTATAGATATTATTTGAAAGATAAAATTTTGAGCCCCATCAGTATATCTGTTTCAGTGACTGAAAGAAATTAAAAATCTAAGTCCCAGCATATGCTGTTTGAGGAAAAAATGAAGGTCAGACAACACTGGACACCCAGAGCTACTAAATGTTTAAAGAGTGGTATGCAACTGAGCTCGACTGTGGCATGTGACTGCATGCTGCTGCTTGAACAACAGAAATCCCTCTCCAATGTACAAAGAAAAATAATCGTATATTAAGGTGATGGTAGTGTAGGATAAGTGAATATATTCACTTGCAGTTGACTGACAGTCACAGTACACAGTCTATCAGCTGGGAATTTTTGTAGTGGTTTTAAAGCAGTGAAGCCATTTATAAGGGATTCCTTTCACTGAGCATGTTTTCATTGGAAAAGCAAGAAAAACTTCCAACAGAAATCAAACTTAATATTTCAAAGCCCTTGAGACCCTGATAAGACCATTGCTCTGCCTATTCATAATCTCTTACTAAGCACAATTGATGGTGCTTTGTCCACATAAAAATAGCACTAAGACTTTGTATCTGGAAAAGGAAGACTCTATGAGATCCCTGATGTGCAAGCATGTAAAAGGGCTCTTATTTAACTAAGAAAAGAATGAGAGAGGGATGAAAAACATGGATGTTAAGACAGACTAGAAATTGATAAGCACAAAGTTTTTACTCTAGTTTTACATTTTCCAAGTACACTGCACTTGCTGGGCAGATGAACAATACACGCTTCCCACTCGAGTCTTTAGGCCAAATGCTGCTCTCAGTTATCCAAATGTAAATCTACTGAAGTTACCACAGAGTTATGCCAGCTTCCCTGAGAGAAGAATATGGTGCCTTGTTTACAAAATTAAACTCTGAAAGGTACATATGTGTGTGCATTTTGATTTGCCAATGAAATCATCTGAGTGAGCTAAACTTCTGCAAATACTTAGAATTTAAATCCAAAGGAGACCTTATAGTTTTGTATTCATTAAAGATTATGCACTATTTTACAAGAAGGTACTGAAACGTATGATATGGAATGCAATTAAAAGGAATACATTCACAGATGTTTCGTATTTTACTCAGTCTTTGTGCCCTGTGTGCATTTAACTGACCGCTCCCCTAGGAGCAAAGAATATGTACGCTCCCTTCATCGTACTGGACTATCTGACAAATACCAATAAATTGCTTCGCGCAACAACTGAGGGAAGAAGAGACAGCATTACTGCTATATCACTGATCAAGCATGACGTCAGGAGAAATCATGAGATTCACCAAAGGCCAGACTGGGAGAGGGAGAGAAATCCAGTTCTCCTGCATTAGCTCTTTAGTAGCACACAAGCCCTTCATGGGAGATGTAACATCATGCAGGTAAAGGGGGACTGGAAACAGATGCGCGTCCTAACTCCCAGGGCAACATATACAAAATTTAAGTCAGAGTGTAACTGTTGTCTTATCCATGTAGGCATTTGTTTACATCTTTAATTACATCAGTACCTGAGTATCTGTGGCTTCTTACAGCATGTTTCAAGTCACTGAAGGCAGAACAATTTATAAAGGACCACTGCTTCTTACTCCCGCATGGAAGAACTCAGCACTGCAGGTGAGGTGTTTGGGGAGTGCATTCCAGGAAATAAAAATCACATCAGTCTTTTGATATGAGGATCACCTGCAGGCTTTCACACAGTTTTTATGCTTAAAACAACCCTGTTTAAAAGAAACCTTAAGGGATGGCTGGAGATGAAGGAATTCATTTTTAAACTAGGTATTTGAAAAAGTGAAAGAAGAAACATAATTTTTCTCAAAGAAACAAGACATCAATTCCACAATGAATATATCTATAAATTATCATTTATTCCCTTAAAAAAAAAATATTTCTAGCCTGCCTTGGTAACCCTGTAGTAATTCTCCTGCAGGTTGTAGAACCATGCTCTTGTTAATGGCAGGAGTTAGCCAGCTGTCAAGAAGCAAGCTTTGCTAACATGTTACTGAAGGTAACATTAGTTACAGGTATTTACTGGTGCTGTCAACCCTCATGCTATTTAGCTCTGAAGAATCTCTGCTTGGAGTGAATTAAACATTATTGTATAAAGAGTCTAGCACAGTGCATGAGTCTACTGGCTCACACCCAACTCTTACAGCTTCAATGATACTGGCCACTGCAAGGAGACAATTGCCAAAGTCATTTCAAATCATCCAGCCACTACTACGTGGACTAGAGCAAGGCTCAAATGAAGCCCTACTAGCCAAATCAATTTTGATAGGACAGAGAATAACAGTAACAGTTGAGGGGCATGCAGGCAGTGGGCAAGCCATAAATTCACTAGCAGCACTATGCAGAGATCAGTAACTGAAACAGTGGTATCCAGAGTGTGGCTAATGGGGATAGCCAACTTGATGCACAAAGCATCTTTGTGTGGAAGGCACAACTGTGCTCCCCTATCAGGTGAAAGCTGGTCCCATCATTTGACAAGCTATAAAGTTTTCTAAGATATTTTATCATCCTTCCTTAAAAAAGATTGAGACAACCTAAAAGAGAAAAAACCGTAATGCAGACCTGAATGTAGCTGCTGGTGGTGTAGCCAGTCACTGTCTCCTCACACTTGAGACTGCCATCTGTGCACCTGAGGGATGTATGAGCTGATACTGTGTACTTTTACAGGTGGTTCCAGTTCCTCTTGGCTTTAATAACAAAGAATTTTGAAGCTGCGCTGTTCATAGAGGCCATCAATGTAGATCACATAAGTAACTCTTGAATTTCATGCATGTACTGGGCAGATGACTAATTACATGCTTCTCACCCTGGAGTCTTTGGGCCATACGACTAGGTGCCTGCTACACTGCTCAGTATTTTTTTGTTCGTTTGAAATATGAACTTTCACAGGGAGATGCCTAATGTAATCTGGAATTTTCTAATCCAGATGAACAGCAGTCAGACTGTAAGCTGCTCTTCATATACTAAACAACAAACAAAATCCATCCACACTTCCTCGCAGTGTTCCCCCAATTCTCACCTAGCACCTTTCCTCACACCACGATTCTGCACCGAAGACAGGCAAGTGGAATACATGTAAGGAAAGACAGTATTTTGTCTTTGCCTGGGAAAAGATGAACCCATGAGCTATGGATATGAATAAATAAAAAAAAAGAATGAACAGATGCCTACTTAAGCTGGAAGAGACACAGAAGATATGATTTCATAGTTCACAGTTGTGCTCAGTGCAGCGGATCCCTGATCTCTCCATTTCTACAATGCAAATCACTCCCCCCAACACACATATCAGTGCAGTGCTAACACTAACAACAAGCTGTACTTCTAGAATGGTAGGCTGTCATCATTCCAGGGAAATTTTTATATCAGGATTGGAAATGTAAAATCTGTAAGAACCACCACCACAAAAACCCCCACCAAACCTACAAAACCAACCAACCCAGGGAACTACAGTTCTCCTTCAAAAGGGAGTAAAACCCCTTCCTGTGACAGAATTTTTCATTTTCATATTACTATGCAAGAAGTACTTCAGTCATTTTTACAGAATGCTTTTGAAGAAAAATGGTATAAATAAATTCCCAATCCTGTTTCTCAGATGAGAAATCACACAGTCTATTCAAAAGGAGGTTTTCAGGCTTCAGTTCAGTGCTTCTTCCTCAGCACAGTGCTTTATTTACAGAGAATTGATCAGCTGAAAACAAATGGGATGCAATACTCTTGATATTTATACAGTACAAAAGGTGAAAACCCCTGGTTCTTAGCCTGGGAAACTTGCTTTGTGCAGACACTCCACTGCAGAAGATGCTTTTGCCACATTGTTGCACCGTGAGACAACCAGACATGTGCTTGTAACAAGCAGTTTATATGGGTATCAGGCTCACAGGTGCTTCACAGTATTTTTACAGCTTACATCCCAGCCCGTAGCATGGAAAGCTTCTTCCACTGAATTTCAGTGTCTGCACCTGCTCAGCCTCCCATGCTGTTGTATTAGGAGTCAGCTAGATGGTGCTCATGGGGTGGAAGCCGATGTGCAAAGTTAGCACTGGGATTTCTCTCCGGGCTTCTTCCTCCACCTCCAGCATCCCACACAATACAAGCAAGTTGTCAGAAATGAAAAAACAGGGCCAGGAGGAAGGGGACGAAGGAGGTAGGTGAAAGGAAGCTGCATCTCAGATGCTGTATGTGCACAGATCCTTACACAATCCTGATGTCTTTTGAAGGCTGGGATGCAAGGATGAAGCTGGGGCTGGTTTCATGGTACATGAGCCAGCTCATCCACTCCTACCTGGCAGCCTGAAAAGAGCACAGTACTTAGGGAAGAACGATGATGTTGGAGAGACCTGACAATTTGGAAGTTGTTTTTCCTCTGACAAATAACAACCCTCTCTGTAAGCTTCAGCATGATCTGATGGAACATGTCTTTATGAATGTTTGAAGTTAGAATTAATTAGTAGCTTTTAGTAGTCTGTGGAGTTGCCTGGTTTTGCTGGATTAATTGCACGCTGCAGATATTACCATGGAAAAACATATTGAGCTAACTCCCAGTAAATATGGGAAAACTCAAAAGTGCTCAGGGATGGAAGACAAAGATTTTGGCTTGGACATATTGCTCAGGGATTCATTGAGTGGCAGAATAGTTAAAAATTCTTAAATCTGAAGATCCCACTTGGTCCCTTGGGCTGAAAGGTTTTATGAAAATTTCATTTCAAAATGACAAACCCCTATATGCACAGGAATGGTTTCCTAAATAAAACCCGAGATCATTTTTTATTCATCCTACATCTAAAATGCCCAGAGGCATAGCTCCATAAAAAATTTAAACTGTAACAAAAGCTCCCTTTCATTTAAGGAAAACAAACCATTCTGAAAGCAACAGTTTATATTATTTATTGTGATGTTTACTCAGCAAGGGAGGCTGAGGAGTTAATTCTCAGTGGAAGTGCTGAATTACTTTAGGAACAGAAGCCCAATTAATTAAGGATCATTTCCTATTGATTTCACTGTACTACAGACCAGACTCAAGAGTACCTGCTCTACTCCTATCCAAGATATAAATAATAATAATATAACTAGACCAGTTACTGCTGTCTTGATGACCTGTAATTCTCACTGAGGAAACACTTCTAAGACTTTGATGTGAACACAATAAAAGCCAGAATGCCTCTTGAAAGGCAGAAAACAGGAAAAGCCCAGAAGAGGCCCTATGCACACTCCAGATCAAAGACAATAGCCAAACGAAGAGACCAGTTCAGAAGGAAGACAAAAGTGGAAATGAATACATTTGTATTGGAAAAAAATCAATAGGAAAAGACCCAATTTCATGCCTAAAGCTTGGATTTTTTTACTCTACAGAGCACTGAACACAAGAACAGACTTCAAGCCCAGAGCCATCTCAGAACTTGATAAGCCCACAGCCAACTCAGAACTTGCTAAGCAGAAATCAAGCCCTGGAAATCTCCTTACTTGACCACTTCGATGAGCATGCTGCATGGCCAGGAAGCACCAGGTCATGGTGTTTCTCTCTAGGTAGGCTTATCCATCCTGAGGACCAGCCAGAGCCCCACACTGCAGAGTTCAGCTTTTCACAGCCCCACTGTCAATAGCTTTTCCATATCAAGCAGCAAAGCAATCACTTCTGTTATCCAGGCTTTTGTAAGGTTGTAATGAGATGTGGAGTAAAGTTTTGGCTCTTTGCAGGGAAGTTGCACTGAAAGATAATTGCAGAAAGACAGATGTATTGGGCTCAGTCTGGGAAATGTAGCAATTATTACATGCATTGCCAGAATACTCGATTAAGAAATTCAGAAAGTTCAGCATTCCGTTGGCACAATTGTGTTTATTTATAAGCGGTGTACACGAAATCGTGTTGTCTGAGAGACAAATACAGCAGCAAGTTGTCTGACAACAGTTTTCAGATCTGCTTCTATAGTGTCCAATGCCTGGAGGAATTCTGCTTCTGCTTCCTCTTAAAGCTAAGCTCTCCCAGCCTTGTCGCAGTCTGCTGCCTCTCTTGACTTCCTGACTGCTTTCTGCCCTGAAGCCTGCACAGCAATATCAAGCCTGTGACCTAGCTTTTGTGTTTGTACTAAGTCAGTAAATAGTCCATTGGGCCATAAAGAGTCCATTTTTGCAAGAGGTTGCCAGGCTAACTACTAATTACTGCCTTGTACAGCAGCTTCTCCTTCAGCTCTCACTGTCCACACTGCCTTACATTTTCTTTTCACTTAGGCTAAAGAAAAGACAGAAAGCACACCCCTGATGTTCAGCCACATTCACAACTCACAGCGTCCATCAATATCACACAGAATAGCAATAACATGGAAAATAAAATACCCTTCTTTACTCAGGCTCTATGACTGGGCAAGTGACTTGAGCTGAGTCCCTATATAAGGCTGCCAGTTACGAAAAACAATGCATGAAGGCATCAACTTTTAAAAAGATCTCTAAGTACCTTTACTGTCTAAAGGAGAAGGTCAGATCCTATCTTGTTATGGCAAGGAGAAAAGGAAGCTGGCAGCAGTGCTTGATATGTCTGCAGCCAACGTGCAACCACAGCTGGAGGAGGACAGGATGGCTAAAATCAGCCCACTGACTCACCAGGTGAGCATCCTCCAAGGCCTGAGGTCAGGCTACTCAAGAAGCAGCAGATGCATTAGCAAAGCTCCTAGCTCTTCATGGTCAGAAAGCAGTCCTCCAGGGCAGGGCTGCAGGGAGCAGGGCAGGCAGCAACAGTCTTTGAAAGCCCGTAGAAAGGTGGAAAAGAAGTAGAGAAAAAGGAAGCTCTTGGAGCCCTTGACTTCGGCCCATTAACCTTAGCCTCTTTGTGCTTAGACTCAGCAGGCAGACTCATGATAGGTAATCACAGAAAATGGCCTTTTCATGTCTTCTGCTGGTTACATTTCAGGTTTGCTTTGACAGACTTGACTGGGTGAGGCCACTCTTTGCCCTCAGGAACAAAAGGACTCAAGGAAGTGACCAAACTCAGTGGAAAAAAAAGTAAATAAATAAAAGGCATTGTAAGTGCTCACCATTTATTTAAAATGAGATATTATGTGAAAATAATTATTCCAGATCTCAGAATATTTAGGCATGATGCTAAATGTGAACATGACATAGGAGCAGCTGGGTTTTTCAGCATGGAGAAGGAAAGGCTGGGGGGAACCAAATGCTGTCTTCAGCTACTTTTAGGAGGTTGTAGAGAAGAAAGCCAGGCTGTTCAGTATCTCGTGCTGAAAGGATGAGAGGGAATGATGGCAGGGGCAACTGTAAGTGGATTCAGAGGAAAAAAATCTTCACCATGAAGCTGGTCCATCACTGGAGCAAGTGTCCTGAGAGGCTGGGGGACCTCTGTTCTTGGAGATTTCCCAAAAAACTTAACTTTTACTCCAGTGTGGGGCTCACAAGTCTCAAATTGAAGTTGAGACAATTTATGCAGGAAGATATGTGCCCTGTTTGTACTGCCACAAACATATTTGTCCTCTATCTTTCCCTGTTGTTTTCCCACTGCACCTCAGGGGTCCATGGATGCATCAGCATAACTGCAAACACAGCACTCCTCAACCCAGCTTCCTGAGTTAAATATTTACATGTTTTAGCCTATTTTGTGTTTCAGTGTAGGCTGAAAGGATAACACAAAGCTGGGCAAAGCACTTTTCTAACACCCTGGTTAAGAGGGTATCATATGCCTGACTCCAATGACATGAACATCGCTCTGGAAACAACTAGATTCAGGGAGACAGACATTGCTGCAATTTATATTTTGTTATTATTCTTTCCAACTAGTAGTAACTAGGAACTCCAAAAGGTATCATTTTGGATAGACACAGCAGGAGCTTACTTCACTGAAAGCAAGACAGCAACCTTACCTACTGACATTCAGGTATCTAACTCCCTCCATATCCCCCATGCACTAGTGGCACACAGCACCAGTATGAAAATGCCCTGATACGCAGGTGCCCACACTTCGAGCAAGGAACAGGATCCAGAGATACCAATGCACAAACAGGACAGGAGGTCAATTCAATATGCTCTACCACAATGAAGCCTGACCAGTGAGCACTGGCTGCCTGCAGCAGTGGCCCACTTGCAACACAATCCTAGGTTAGGTAAAGGACAGCACCATCCCTGCAATCCAGCTCATTCTTCAGTGTTTGCATGGGGATAAAGTCCCAGTCAGGAAAGCAAGTAAAAGGAGGAGGAGAAAAATATAATGGTCTTACAATACCTAAAGGGAACCTACAAGAAATCTGGAGAAGAACTTTTCACAAGAGCTTATAGGGACAGAACAAGGGGAAATGATTTTAAACTGACAGAGGGGAGATTGAGATAAGACATTAGGAAGAAATTCTTCCCTGTGAGGGTGGTGAGGCACTGCCACAGGTTGCCCAGGTAAGCTGTGGCTGCTCCATCCCTGGCAGTGTTCAAGGCCAGGCTGGATGGAGTTTGGAGCAACCTGCTCTAGTTGAAGGTGTTCCTCTCTGTGGCAGGGGATTAGAACTAAGGTCCCTTCCAACACAAACCATTGTGTGGTTAGTCTATGACTAACTCTACTTCCTTCTCCCCTCCCCAAATAAAAAATATCAATGGCAAAAGGAAGCATTTTCTCATTGTAACAGGCCCACTGAGCCTGAGTCAGCCAGGGTCAGTTTTCTTCCTGTTACTAGTTCTTTGATAACATGGAGCCCTGCAACACAGGTGGGGAGCTAGGATCTGTACCTGGAAGCCATATACAAATTTACAAACTCAAAGCCTGCCACAGACCAGTCCCCCATTCAGTCTGTTACACATCAGCAGTTTCCCAATGTTTATCCATCCACTCAGCAGCAACTCCCACAGTATCTGTTTCCAGGAGGAAGATGAAACACTAAGGTAGCTGAACCACTACGGTGTGCTGGCACCTACTCAGACAGCCAGCAAAGAGCCCTGCCTTGCCTCACCATAGAAAATCCTACAAGCTACCAAGTGTAATTTAGGGTATGGTCCATGTTTTGCATTTGTTATTTAAATTGCCCACAAACCCTCATTCTAGAAGAGGACAGACAAATGGTGCCATCCCATTTTATACAAACCACGCCAAGCATGATTTGCAAACTGTCACAACTCCGAGACTTGGTGTAAATACTGATACAATTTTGGAAGTGCCTGCATCCGAATTCAGTAGTACAGTATGAATTTGCCTCAAATAATAACAACACAGAGCAGCTCCCCCAGGGTGTAGATAATATACGTAATCACCATAGTCTCTGCCTATTCAAGTTAACACTTCTTAACAACAGATGTAATCTTCAAGTGAAACCAAGCTCTCACAAATTGCTGTTAATATGAATCACGCTTAACTTGTCTAAGTATCTCTTCTAAGGAGATTATGTTTTCCCCAGAGGTATTTAAATTAGGAATTCTTAACCACTAATTGAATGAACTTGGATAACTGAGCAGGTCATCTTTGCTTCTGAAACAGAGGCTAAAGTCTTCACTCTTTGGACTAAGTGAGGGGATCGTATTTGACTTGCACTGTATAAAAACCTCATGATATGGTGAAGGTTTGAAGGGCAGTGTTTCAACAGCTCTTCAGGGTGAGGTGTATCAGCTGATGCTTTGAGACCTCTTCCAACAGCTCAAAGTGATATGTCACTGCCACAAAACAAGTCTGGCCATTGCATTCACTTTCATTGCTCAGGGATGTGACAAACTAGCAAGGAATTCAGTTCAAGAGCTTGTCAGTTTCAATGTTTTTTTAAGTGCTTTTGGTCTATGCTACATTCAAACATCATTAAGAGACTAAAACAATCTGACAAAGGGATTTATAAATTGCCTGTTGCACAATTTTGGAACAGAGAAAAGCAGTCTCATTGCTTTTAGGCCACCAGATCATCGTTGCGTGTCAGTGCAGGTACTGAATTTGGGCTACCATTTTAGAAGTCCTCCAAAGCAACAGACCTTTATGTCTCCTAAGGATTTTGCAGACATTTCAAAGATGTACTTTAGTATTTTTACACCATGATAATAGTCCAAAAAGTCATTTTGTACTGTTAATTGCAATCTAATTTGGTGCAGTAAATTTAGAAATATTCATATTTAACCACACATAATGCTGCCAGAAAACTACTTAATCAGCAAATGAATGCACATCGAAAAGCTGTGAGTAATGGCTCTAATGAAGGGTGGGGCAATCACAGCAAGGTGGGGAGATCACACAAAACATCACTAATCCCATAAATGCAGAAAAGCAAAAGATAACAAGCACAATATTAACTTAAAACTCATAATGCTCTATTTTAAATACTAATTGATAGTTTTGTTGCAAAAGCAAGTTTCTCTTCTTTGAACTCTGAACCAAGACTGCAAACTGCGGTATACTGAGGCTTCGAGCTGCAGGCGGATTTTCAATACAGCACAGTCCAATTTCCATGCAATTCAAACTAAAACCCACCCTGTTCTTCCCATCTGAGTGGTGGGACACCCACCACCAGCCCACCAGTCTTCTTCAGTATGGAAACTTGATTCCTCCCTCAGATATATTGATAGCTTTCAGTTTTTATCATATTTTTCTGGATATGTTTCAGGTTTTCTGCCTAAAGGGCAAGATACTATAATCAAGAACACTGTATTTCCTTACGTATTTGAGACAAGAAGTGGAAGACTGCACACAAGCATTACATACGGTTGTTTCACAAACCCTTTCCAAAAAGTGACCTTCTGGCACCTGTGATGAAGAGGTTTGCCAGCAGAAGAATTACTGGGGTTCAAAGATACAGCAGAGAGAGAATAGCAAGCAGAGCTTGCTATTTCAACCCCAACACCACAGCACAGCAGCAGCCAGAGCACAGGTTCTTGCAAAGATAAGCTCTTGCAGGTGAAAAAGGAGTACCTTTTGCTAAGCATTTGAATACCCTGTGCCAGGGCACAGTGGCTTTCCAAGCTTTGTTACAAGACAGACAAAAAGGATTCACCTTGGAAGAGGTGAAGTAAAACATAAAAGGAGATCTGTCCTCAAAAGGACAATCTTTGCTTTAAAGTTACTTTTTTCTCCTTTGAGCTTATGTAAAACAAAACCTGAGAAATGCAAATACTTCCAGTATGCTTCCTTGAAGGGCTGGTGATTGTGCAATACAAGTTCTTTCCTGACTGTTCAGGACTGCCCCTGGATCAGGAACCCACTCTGCTGACACCTTAAGCCTCTTGGCTCAGTCAGCAGTAGGAGCTGGGCAACCCAGGGAGAAAACTGCTTTAGGAAATGGAAGAAAGCCTGAAGGAGGTACTGTGAGCTTACTGTCCCCCTAGGTCTTGGGCCTGGTGATGGACTTCCTCCTAGACCTAGAACCAACCAGGCCATAAGGGACTGGCCAAACAGCAACAGGGAACCAATCAGGCTTTTGGTCTGGCAGACAAGAGGCAAAAGGAAAATACATTTCACAGATTCATACAATACCAGGTTGGAAGGAACCTCAAGGATCATCTGGTCCAACCTGTCTTGGCAAAAGCACGGTCTAGAAAAGATGCCCAGGCATTCTGTCCAGCCCAGTCCTAAAAGTGCCCAACACTGGGGAATCCACCATTTCCCTGAGGAGATTGTTCCAATGGCTGATTGTTCTTACTGTGAAAAATTTTCCTTATGTGCATCCAGAGCAGCTGTGGCTGCCCCATGCCTGGCAGTGTTCGAGGCCAGGTTGGACAGGGCTTGGAGCAACCTGATCTAGTGGAAGGTGTCCCCACCTGTGGCAGGGGGTTGGAACCAGATGAGCTTTAAGGTCCCTTCTAACTCAAACCATTCTATGACAACCACAATCTTCCTGGGAGTAACCTGTGCCCACCACCGCTTGTCTTCTCCATGTGACTCCTTGTAAAAAGGGAGTCTCCATCTTCTTCGTAGCCACTCTTTGAATACTGGAATACAGTGATAATGGAACATTTGGCTTTTATGAACTTTTCTATCAAAACACAGTCTCTTGATAGTAAGACTGACCTCTGTGTTGCAGGACTCAAAGTGAAATACACAAACTCACATACATACATACATACCCATCCCCAGAGGAAGTCATGAAGGGCAGCACACATGTGCAACAGCTTTGCAGAATTGTAAGAAAAGGAAGGAGGAGTTACTTGCTGCTTTATCTCCCCAGTGGCTAGTCAAAAGCTACACTATGTTTTCTTCCCTGATGCACACAACAGAGGTTCCCATAATGTAACTTCTCCTTACCTTCACAGAAAAGCTCTTATTCATAGACATATCCACTCAACCAGGAAATGAGACACTGTGGCAACTTTTTTTAATCTGAATATATCTGTAACAAAAAAAAAAACTATAATTAAATTAAAAATTCTATTACCAATTTCCTCCTCATTGACAGCTAAAAATCATGATATTTTCAGAAGCTGAGGGGTGAGAGGGTGTGGAATCCACAGCGGTTTTTCTATGAAGAAAACCCACCTTCAAGGCACCTGTATTTAAAACAACAGAGCACAACCCTCACACATTTGGTAACTTTACAGACACAGAACCATACAAGGTAGCAATTCTGCTGGAGCAAAAAGTTTTCTGCATCGCCCACCTTCTTGAATGCTGTTTCCAGTCATTCTGTTTACTATTTACTACTGACATAAGTGTTAATTCTACATAGTACCCAAGTTGCCCAACACTTTCCATTCTGAAAATGTCTTCAGCTGCTACTGGTTTTGCTAAACTTCCGTGCTCTACCCCACTATCTGCCTCCCTCGACTTAATTAGCTATGTAGAGTATAGAATATAAATGTAATGCACCATGTACCCACAAAGCTTTGCCCAGATTAGAAGAAACTGTAAGTGAGGAAATGAAAAAATCCCAGTTATCCGTATCATACTTTGATGATGGGATCTGAAATACGGCAGGAGGCACTTTTTATGTTAAGAATGTACTTGTTGCCTTTGCTGTGAAAATCTGTACAACATCAACCATCCTAAAAGCTTTTGTACATCTTTCCCTTACCCTCAAGTATCAACATGCTTATTTTTAGGAAAAGCTACTTATTGTTTAGCACCTCAGTTCCCAGAGATGGGTTACTGCAACTTAGCACAGATTTGATGGGAGATTTCACCTTGTGCTCCTCTGCTTAGATTTCTGCTGGACTGGGGCAGTAGAGAGATAACATGGAGACACCGCAGTGTCAACAGTAATGAAACAGATGTGCTGGGACTCATACTAGAGACACAAAGAACAGTTTGGGAAAATGGAGCCCTGTAACTGACAACTGAGAGAGAAACCATGAGAGTGGAGAAGGGCTGTGACAAGTTGTGCAGTGGTTATCGCCAAGAGACAGACTGAGAAAGAGATGGAAAACAGAAATGAGTGGGATAGCTGGAAGTGAATGGTGGATAAATGGAAATGAGGAAAGAAAGCCGCACGAGGGAGTGCTTAGCTCAGAAGGACAGAACAAAGGCACAGGCACACTTGCAGTGAGTTCCACATGGGTGTCCCACAGCACAGAGATCCTCTATTTAGTGCTGTGCAAGCTATGAACTGACAAAGTCAAAACTAGAAAAAAAATATGACTTAATTGTGCATTGTAATTATACTACAGCTATTAGTTACACAGGTAAGGCAGCACAGCCAGGAGCCTGGAGTCTGTGTGCAATACACACAGCTTCTTGGTGGCAGCTTCCTGGCCTTGGTGTCTCAGCGAGTGGAGCAGAAGCAAGCTTCTGCCATTCACCTTTCCTCACAGCTCCTCTCTCTGGCCAAACACTTATGTTAGATGGATTCACATTGAAAGCAGTTGCATTTGGAAGCTTCTCAGTTGCTCAAATGCTGGAGGTGGATTATAAAGAGGGAAGGACTGGTTAGAGTGTTTTGAGGTGTGGGAAGAAGGAAGTTGCTAAGAGAAGAGACTAATTCAAGCTCCTAAATGTCTCATTACTTGCTCATGCATATTCCTAGTATAAGGTTGAGAAAGAAATCACTGCATATCCAGCCCTGACAGCAGCTTAAAACCTGGATTCTACATTATCTCTCTCCTTCTCAGTGACAAGGCAGGAGATCATACAGGATTTTTTAGGTCAGGCCTCTGTTACTTCAGCTGTGACTTAACGTATGTATGCACATGCTGGGAAAGACGCTCCTCCATGTACTCACATCTTCTGTTATGGATGCATAGAAATAAGCAGGCTCTTCTTATGTCTTTTATCCTCTCAGGAGAAATGAGCACAGCTAAAATCTGTCAGAGCCTTGGGTGCAATCAGTTAGTACTTAGACAGCATATCTGAAAGAATGCGGTAAATAGGGAAAAAGACACAACTTGCTCCAAAGAAATAACATTCTCCCCCTCAACCATCCGCTCCACTGAGCAAGTAAGAAATCATGATCCAGAGGGTAATGACTGGCTAAGAGAAGCTCCTAGGTCCAGTGCGGGTGTACTATGGTTCAGACCACAGCTTTTGCTCAGTGCCGACAGCTTTGTAATCAGTGTTCCAGTGGTGGTGCTCTCTGCTCTAATTATTCTGCATATGTCTCTCCTCACAGCCTGGAACAGGCTTTCTAAGGGCTGAAACCACTGGAATGAGGACAATTGATGGAGCTAGTCAACACTGGTTGCATTCTGCAGAACCTTGAATAAGAACCAAAAGACTCTTCCAAATCTTAGGAGGGAAGTTTCCCCCTGCTTTGAAGATCACTCACTTCCTGGTGCACTCAAGTTGAAGGATTAAGTAACTTTTCCCAAATATAGAAAGTATCACAGCCAATCACACACATACACACACACTGCTGCCTTCTTAAGTGAAGGATCTGAGGAGGAAAATAAGATTACAAATTTAGGAGTATAATGAGATCAAGTTAAATTCACACCATTTCCCCGCCTAGGCACAATCTATGCCATTAGAAAGGCTTACTTTTTCTTTTTTTCGTTGCAATTTCTAATCTCATTATACATTTTGTCCCAAGAATGATTTATCATAATTTCAATACTTAATGCTACACATTTTGTGAAATATTAGATTATGTTCTAACATAATACCTTGACTCTTCCAATATTCTCTGTCTTCATTAGCTGGTATCCACTCACTCTTGCCATACTACTCGGCACAGCTATAAATAGAAAGACCAGTCAACCAAGTCACATAGTCCTGAAAAGGTCAATGTAGTGTACTAGATCACTGTGATTTAGAGAAGACTATTCACAGAGTAGTAAGTTTGACGCCTCACTTATGTGACAATGAAAGTAAAGAAAATAAAAGGCATTGAAGAATGATCCTCTATCACTTTATGCCAGAAATCACTGGGAGATTGGGGGATTGCAAACCCCTCAACATTATTATCTTTATAGCCTAATGTAACTTCATGTTATTCTTTATGTACTGTACCTCTTATGCTAAGTTTCTGTGTTTCTCAAAGAGACAGCAGTCTGTTCACTACTTCTTTTGATGGTTTTTTTAATACAAATATTTAAGAAGCTCTTAAGGAATACTCAAGCATTTTCTGAATCATGGCCCTCACTTATCCAGCTTCCAAAGAAATTTAGACACAGGAAAAAAAACAAAGTGAAAATCACTAAGCTAAGGATTATTATTACTGACTCCTTCCCCCCACCAGGAGAATAAGAGAATTATGGCCTTGCACTCGGTCTATAGAAAGCATCTGTTTGAGCTCAGTGGCTGTGCCACCATAGCTTGTCATGGAAAAGTACTTTTAGAGTGGCTGTGAGCACAGGCTGCTCCGCAGTGCATACATCATACTGCTGCCTCTACAGACATCCCATGTCCACATGGCAAAATCCATGTGTCCTGACAACTGCAATGTCCCCACCTCTTTCACCACAGCTCAGAATTCCTAAGAAATCAAGTATATACTAGAGAAACACCTGCAAATCAGCAGTTGCCTTCCCAGGCCCAGGTTCAGTCATGTCTTTGATGTGCTCCCTGCATCACTGATCCTGGTACCCAATGTTATTAAATGCTGCAAAAGTCCCAGGTTAAGATGAAAGCCAGACTCTGTGCCAAGTCATCTCCAGGCATGCAGTTTTACCCAAAGAACACCATGTACAGTTGTGCTGTTCAGAGCTGCCCCAGAGAAAGCAGTCATGGCCCACATCAGACAACCCTCACAACTCTACAGGTTTGCAGAGTAAAAGTGTCTGCAGAAAAAAACAGGAAGGAACAACGTAAAAGGGGCAAAGAGAGAGGGTATAAGCTAGCCTTTCTGAGATAGCTGCAGCAGAACTGGGCTTAGCACATAGCCCATAGTGCACTCTGCAGTATGCTTGAGACCATCTTGAACCTCTGGGCAAGTTCAGGCATCCACAGTTCCAAAGACTAGGGAAGATGTACTGGAGTTCTGTAGGTTTGGGGAATCAATAATAATGACATTTCAGGCAACTTCATTCATGGAATTGTAATTAACCTAATGGATAATTGAGAAGTAAGCTCAGCTAATATTAAAACAAGAATAATCAGCGACCTAATTTCTATCCTATGGATCTCACTGTCTTCCATGAGAGAATACCCATTTCCCATTGAGTAAGGAGAATCAGAGAGGCTGGACTATAGCAAAGCTGCAGCATCTGCAGGCAGTCCAGCTGAATAGCCACATTCCACCTGCTGATGCTAGTTAGGTGCTTATATGGCAAAAAAAAAGCCTGTAACTTCTATTTTTCACACATGAGATTTGAAGTTTGTTATTGGGTTTGGAGATGGGGGAGGGGGGTGGTTTAGGGGTTTGTGGCTGGGTTGTTTTTTGGTTTGGTACCATTTGTAGGCTTTAGGGTTTATTGGGTTTTTTTTTAGAAAAGAACCCATTAAGACCTTGTTTAAGGCCTTGTCTACATAAAAATAACATCCCAGTAGAAGCGATGAAGCCTCCTCCTCTGACAGTCACAACTCCAATATAGAAGCTATTATTTCAAGAGCAAGGTTGTGCACACTGCTAACCAGTTTACTGAGGAAGTAATGATACACTACCTGTGTTGCACATTTTTCACTGTAGCTGGAAAACTAAGGCTATTCTCTTACAACTGACTAAATAGGACCATAGAACCATAGAATGGTTTGGGCTGGAGGAGACCTTAGGTCATCCAGTTCCAACCCCCTTGGTGAGCAATAACTTGCCAGGAGGGAGACTAAAAAAAACCACAAACCAAAAAAACCCCCCCACCAGGCTTTTTCTTTGTCAGCAAAGGTTACCCAGGAGGAAGCAAGCGAGGGAGAAGTGAAGCAGCACATCTCCCCACTGATCTGTGCCTCCTGCAGACTCCCACCCAGAGCTGGTGCCTTGGCACTCTGCTGGTGAGCTCCAGGTCCTCTGGCAGAGCAGGTGGCTGTGGGTGGCGTGCTCCCTCCATCCTCCTACTCCCAACAGATTTGCTGGTGCTGGGAGGGCGTAGAAAGCAAGCTCCACCTGAACAAGCTGAACCCCTTCACTTTTGGGATGATGGCTGAAGGGATGGAAAGAATGCCTGTGGAATTTTGATTCAGATTTTGTAACATATGGAAATTGGTCTGCAAGCAAAGCAAGAAATATTTAGAAACAGTTGGAGAGGCTGTCATTGAAATTTATCCTGGCTATGTCTAAACATGGAAAAGGACAACAGAAACCAACATTAACTTAGGAAAAATGTAAAGAGAACTGACTATGCAACAAGCAGAAGGCTTATTTCTTTTTAAGTATAAACAATCTGGTGAGGAAGAAGAAAAGCAAAACTATAAAAATAAGCCAAGGCAAGTAAAAACTAATGGGGGAGGGGAATAATAATACTCTGCATCCATCTGCAGGGATTCTTTTCTTGCACAGCAATCCCCAAATACAACTTTCTTAAGGGAGAAACCAGACAAAATATTTCTGTTCCAAGTTATCACAGTGGAGGACAGTATAAAAGGAAGGTGTACTATGGGGAGAGGATAACCTTTAACTATAGACAAGGTTTCTAGATACCTTCTCTGGGAAACTAATCTTTCCAGACTCCTTTCACAGCCAATGGAAAGAAACACTAACCTCCACAGGTGAATTCAGTATTCCTAAATGCAGGTGGCACAAATGCCTTACAGTAAAGATAAAAACTGTAACAACTCACAAAACATGGGTCATTTTCTTCAAGCTTTGACTGTTTTGGAAACCTGGGCTGAATTACAGATGGAACTAACGTCACTGCCTTTAGGGAAAGTTAAGGAAATGAGTGTGAGGACACAGCACCCTTGCTCAATCCTTCTCCCCCTTTTCTGTTCATGAAATACAGCACTGTGCATTTCCATTCGTTCCCTTTGTGTTTTTTTTCCCTTCCCTCAGCTTTGTAATGTTTCTTTTCACTCCAGTGCCACTGGCAGTCCCAGGAAAAGGGAACTCCCAAGCTTGCATAAGTGCAGATCACCTCCTGTTAAGTCCACACATTTTCTTCCTCACTCTTGTTTTCTGCTAGTGGAGAGGTCCCAGCCACAGGGAGCAACCCTTTATGCACAACAATAGCTCATTTACGTTTGCAACTGAAGTGTCCTTTGTGCAGCAAATCTCTAGACTAGGTAGAAATTGTTTCCAGGGAACTTGTAAAAAGGCCATATTACAAAGACAGTGGAAAAATTAGAGTGGAGGCAGCCTAATAAAATATTTGAAATATCAAGATTAGCAATTACTATAATCAAAGATAAAGACAGAGAGTGCAATTGCTTCCAATTTGAACACCATAGCATTTACCCAATTTTACCCAATAGATGCCAAATAGGCAAGATTATGTAGATTTTCAAAATGAGTTTATCTATGAACAACTGGTTGAGTGGATCGACAGAAAAAGTAATACAACATGTTGAATGTACAGCATACTTACAGTAGAAACACAGTAACAGTGATGTTATTGCTGTACAAAGCTGCTGAACCAAACAGCATAAATTCAATACAAAGACTGAGTTATTTTCCACAACTGTACATTGGAGAGGCAGAGCAACCTAAACTGCCCTATGTTCACTTTAAAAATTTTAAATGTGTGCATGTAAACTCAGAAAAAATATCATAGGATCCTTCTATTTTCCCTTCTTCCTATGCTGTATCTTAGAACACCAATTTGTCCACCCTTTGTTTCACTTTTCCTTTTCCTGTGACAGAGCTGCACTCTGGCTTAGGAGGCCAATTCATTGCAATTACTCACACCAAGTCTGTTAGAAACAACTAAACAGAGAAACTGGTTTCTGCCCGTATTCCCAGAAGTATATAAACAGTCCTTAACTTATTATGATAACTTATTTTCAGATCTAAACTTTCAAACCCACTGGTTACTCAGAATCCTTTCTGACAGAAGACAGGAACCACAGCACATGTTGCATTTTGCCAGCTGCTGCAATACAGAATTTCTGTAAACTATTGCAAGCTATATGCAAACCACAGTTTATTTTTTATTTAAAAAAATAAAGATCTCAATAAAACTTCAGTATTGCTTACAAATTTCTGCAAAAATAAATTGAAGACTTTGAATTAATAACATTGACTTGCTGATAATATTTGGCAAGTTTTAGGGATTACAGAAGAAATAGGAAAAGCAGAAACATGCACTGAATAATGCATGCTTTGTAGTGTATTAGGTCAGTATCTCAAACCTCCCTGACTCATAACACAGCAAGCATGCCCAGTGTGGAAGAAATGTGTGGTGTCGCCTAGGCTTCACTGCACATGTGCTGAAGCACCATGTGGAGTTAAGCTATTCCATGACATACAAGCAACATGTGCTTGACATAGCAGGAAAACGCCAAATTTGGAATGAAGTAGTACATTTGTGTATCAGGACATGAGCAAGACTGTGCCAGGCTAGAGGTGACAAAGGAGAAGAAAGAAAAGATATGGAACCAAATTAAAATATAAGTGAAACTCTTCATGGCTTAAGCAAATGCACCCAATGGTAACTACTATCACTTTTCAGTTTGTTGATACAGGGAATATTTGAATAATCTCCCATCCCGCCTTTTTCTCCTCTGGCTAGTTTTCTTGCATCATACCTTTTGTTTCTAAAGGTCAGTTGTGAAACATCTTCCTACATGCATGAATTCTGTGCACTAAAAAATGAAACAATGTTTCCTATGAACATCTCAATTAGCTGACACCAAAGGCAAGGGAGAGAGCTCTCCTACTTTGAAATGAAGGTTCCTGGCAAGGTGACATATTTTTCTGCTTCTTTAGGTTAAATATACTTGTTATTTATATGAAATCCATCTGCTACAACATCCTACACGCCCAATAGGAACATACACTTAAAACACATTAAAAACACATTAATGTGTCTTTCCATACTGTGAAGTGTTAATAGTGCAAAAAACTATTAGGACTGGGCTGTCAGGCATACACAATAGATGAATTGCTGGGTCAGCATGAACATACACTGCACCATAATTCATAAAAGGATCCATTAACATATAGCAATACAAGTAGACATAAAAAAGAAAATAAGCATTTAACCCTAGTTTTTAGCCCTTCTCATTCTTTTTTGCCCTTCGAGCAACCAAATTCTTTGGAGCTAGCAACTGCAAGCTAGGCTAAAACCAAACCAAAACCCTAAAGCCAGCTATGAAATAGTGGCCCATTTTTCAAGTCCTGGAAGGGAGACAGAACCATCTATGGGAGTAGAAAGGCACAAGCAAAACCTGGTTTTGCCTGTAAAAATAGTTACCAAAGTTAGCTGTGTTCTCATTAGCATGATCACCTATTTGAGCACATTTGTAGAAGGTTATAGTGCATGACTGGCATGCACTCTGCCGCAAATATATAATTTCCTTTTTTTCATATATTCAGAGACAAAAAGAATAAATATATTTTTTAAAAATCTGGACTTACCTGCCCTGCTGAAACAAATGGCTTTAAACTGAAGGGTGGAGATCTACATGAGACATTAGGAAGGAATTCTTCCCTACTGAGGGTGATGAGCTGCTGGCACAGGTTGCCCAGAGAAGCTGTGGCTTGCCCCATCCCTGGCAGTGTTCAAGGCCAGGTTGGATGGGGCTTAGAGCAACCTGGTCTAGCGGAAGGTGCCCCTGCCCATGGCAGGGGGTTGGAGCTAGGTGAGCTTTAAGGTCCTTTCCAACCCAAACCAGCTGATTCTATAATCTACTAACACAGGCTTATTTTATGGGTTGGCCCAGCAGTCATAATTCAGGGTATAACCAACAACATCTTTGTGAAATACTCTACTAGGTACCTTCCTTCTAGGCTTTGTGGAAATGAGCCCAAGACTTTCCATTCACGATTTAAGAGGCTTTAAATGAGCCCAAGACTTTCCATTCACGATTTAAGAGGCTTTTCTTAGGCACTGCCTTACTGTTCTATCTGTAGGATTTATGCACTACCCCAACAGTATTGTGTCTTACGTATGTCCACTCTGAAGACTGTTTCTGGAAGCTCCCTACTTCTCAAATCATCATCAAGCTTCACATAAGGTTCCTAAAGAGATCAGTAATGAAGCTAGTAACAAGAGTGTGCATTTAGTATTTCTCACTATGACAATGTTTTACCAGTTCCCTCAAAATTTACACCAAAAGAGTCTGAATCCTAAAGTCAGAAAGATGCTAATGTACATGAGAAACAAAAATACGGATTTGCTATCTTTGGGGGGGGGGGGGGAAGCCTTGCACATTACACATGGTGTCACTGTATGCAATCGGTGGAACAGGGAATTAACAGTGGGAGAAGAGGAAGAGGCAATTCTTTTTTAAATTATCTTTCCATCTAGGCTAGAGGAAAAAGCAGGTTTAAAGTAGCCACTGCAGTCATAAGAACAGGAAGGATGTATCTCTATGAACTCCATAACCTGTGCTTTTCTGGACAAGCTGTGGTCACAGTGAGAAACTGAAAAAGTAAAGATGAATCATTCCTGTTGCACGCAGCTGTAATAATGCAAAGGTGTTAAATCTGTGCATGAAACTCCCCCATCCATTGTTGGGAATACGTTATTATGTATAGATCTCCTCTAATCTTTAAATATAGGACTTTAAATCTTTAAAATAAATCTTTAAATAAATAACGTTTACATGTATATCTATATATAGGAA